AATTTTTTCAAAATTCTTTACAAAATTAATTATAGAAAATAAATCATGTGTTTAATTATTCAGACAAAATATTAATTATTAAAATAAAAGCTATATATTAAAAAAAAATTAAGAACAATTTTAGTATATTTAGCTTCCCAAAACTACCCAATCGTTTTTGAGTGCACAACTACAGTAAGTGAATCTTATATGACTCAACTACACAATGTCATGTATATGTAATCTTCACATTTATGTTGAATTGATTTTTATTATGTATTTTAATTTTTCTAATAGGGACAAGAAATTAAACAATCCGACGACATCATTTTCGGCGGAAACAAGAAAGAAGGAAGAAGAAGCAAACAATGTCATAAAATGGGCTCAAGCTCAATTTTAAAATCATGCTAAAAATACTCTCTATTTTTAACATACACTCTCTCATTAAATTATTCCGTTAGTGAATACAGTGTTTTTGAAAATCGTGAGGAAACTAGTGCTAGCATAACTACTCAGTGGAATCAATCGTTTGACTACATGATGCAATGTTTGAAATTCTCTTTTATCGCCAAAATTTGGGTTTTATCATTTTTTATCTCAGGTACTCAAATGTTAAAGAAAACATTTCTCGTAAAATTCTCGTTTTTGCACTATCCAGTCATTCACGATGTTTGATGTCACTTCATATTGTCAGAATCAAAATGGGATGCGATACATCGATTTATATTAAAACATATTAAAATATGTTAGTTGTCATTGACGAATTAATGTATTACGTTAATACACCTAAATTTTTAATATAGATTTTATATTGTAAGATAAAGTTACACTGGTTTAAAATACATTTTATTTTACAGAACTTATTTAATACGATTCTCATGTATCGAAATGTACTTTTTTATACGGTGATGTAACGAAGCAACTGATATAATTTGTTGTCATTGCCCTTAGGCATGCATAATTGCCCTTAAAAGTGCATTGAAGTCAGTGGGTCATATTGAAAAATGCACAATTTTTATAAAATAAAATTTATTTATACCAATCTATTTGGTTTTGGTTAATTTTCAAATTTATAATGAAAAATCCTTACTATAAATAAATTGCATTGATATTTATTTTCTTGATAGTCCTCAAATAATCGGATGAATTATAGTAATTGTAATAATTGTTGTGTCATCAAAAGTTACTTAGCGTGAAAAATACGCAACAAGCATATAACGAAGTTATTTTCAAGATATAACACGTGACTCGTGTTTTTGATTGGTTGAGCATTTCGTTAAAAATATCATGAAAGTATTTGTTTTAACATTTGAGATTCTGAGAATAAAATTCTAAGACCCAGATTTTGGTGGTAGGAGATAATTTTAAAAATACAATGATTAAACTACAAAATGTATTCTATTAAGTTTGGTATAATACTATTTTCCTTATTATTTTCAGAAACACTACACACGCTAGCAAAATAATTTAATGGGCTGGCTTAAAGTGATATTTGTGAAATTGGTCCACTTAAGTACTGGCATTTTTTTTTAAATCCATGATATTATTTTGCAAATTACTGGCAAGTATTTACAAGGCAATTTTTAGAATTTGCAAGTTCAAATTTTCATCGTGAAACCAAAACATTTAAAATTGAGCCAACTTCACATAACATTTGAGCTAGAACTTTAAAATCATCACCTAACTAAAGCTAATGTTTTGCAAGAATTTTCAAGTCATTCAGGTGGCCCCTATAAACTTCTAAGCTTGTGAAGTAGATCTACTCTATCATCATCTTTTGTTTGATACCTATATGGAAGTTTTGAATTAACTTGAGTAGGTCTATTCCACAAGCTAAAAAGTGTATAGGGGACACTCGAATGATTTGCAAATTCTTGCTAATCATTAGCTTTAGGGAGATGTTGATTTCAAAGTTCTAAGTCAAATGGGTGGTCAATGTGATGTTGGCTCAACTTTAAATGTTTTGGTATCACGGTCAAAGTTTGAATTTGCAATTTCAGAAAATTTACTTTAGAAAACTTGTCAATAACTTGCAATATAATAGCATTGATTCAAAAAAATGTTGCAATACTTAGGTGGACCAACTTCATGAACGACTTATAATATATGTTAAAAATTATAGGTAAATTAACCCGGAACCCCCCCCCCCCTCGTATGTACGCCACTGAGTATTATAAATAACTCAGTCAGTAATATTTTAAAAAATTAAAAAATTATAATTTATTATGTAAAAAATGTTAAGTGTTTTTTGATAACTATAAACAAGATACCTAACCATAGGCGCCAAGTACATGGGTACTCGGGTGCTCGAGCACCCATTGAAAATATTCATTGGGTGCGGAGCACCCAATGACCAATATATTAATTATAATAGGTAAACCGTTATCACTACGTTCATTGTATATCAGCGGCTACACAGCAAAACCTAAAATTAGAAAAAAAAAATTTTTCTTTTATTGGATGCACTGTATTTTTCTGTATATTTTGATTTCTCCCGATATTTTTATAAGATAATACCACGACTTAAGATATAATATATTATATAGATATTATCTTAAATTGTGGACAATACACAAAAACAAACATTTGTAAGTCGTAATCATATAACAGTATTAACATATTTTGTTCATAGTCATAACCATTGTATCAATGAGAAAACCTTTTGGTTTTATGTTCATCATCAATTTTATTAAAGTGACAAAGGTCTTGCAGTTATCAGGTTACTAGTTATTAACCAGTTTATAGAAAATTTAGTATGGGGAGTGAGGGGAAAAGCCCCTCACTAATACTTGACGTCAGTGGCACACAGGATTTTTTTCGGGGGAAGGGGTGTTATTCTATTAATAATTTACTATAGAGATAAATATTGTATAGCCCTAACATTATACTAGGCCTCGGAGAAATTTCCAGGGGGGTGAAACTCCTTACACCCTACAACCCTGCGTGCTTGACATTGGTAAGAGCACCCAATACATTTTTGAAAACCTGGCGCCTATGTACCGAACACAACGATATAGTTAATAAAAATATTGTATTAGTAACTTTTTAAAAGCTTTTTTAACTATTTTTTGAGTATTATTTTATGGTTTTAAAGTATTTAAACCCAGGCCATAGTAATCACTAATCATCACTAATCAGTAATCACAGATAATATCAAAAATGTAATTAGCTTAAATACCATCCATGGATAATAAACGTTTAATCAACGGTTTATTAAATGTATAAGTAGTTGGCAAACATGCCGATGTAAGTGGATTATGTTTAAAAGGTTTAACAATAAATTATTCCATTATTCATTAAACCAAATATCTATGTATTTTTGGTACAACAGTAGGTAGTCAAGTACATAAGGTTTATATTAAAAATAAAATGATGAGTATAAGTACATTTATATGAAATAAATTAACATAAATATATATATATATATATATATATATATATATATATATATATATATATATATTAAGATTTGAACATCAACATTATTATTTTTTGTTTTAATGAAGTAAGTACCTTTTAAACTTTTCTACAGAAACAAATATGTATATTTTGCTCATTGTACATCAATTTATTTAGAACTATTAAATATAGGCGCTGCGGCTGGAAGTAATTAAGTTGAGGTGCAAATTGTAATTTCGGGGCTAAAAAAATACCATTATATCGTTCATATCCGACCACGGAATAACTGCACCAAATTATTTCGGTATCTTATTTACACTACACTATTTATTTTGTTTTATTTACATAGCTATTAGTGTCATCAAACTAGCTATCTTGTTTCACTATATCACGTTGAACATGTTTTAATTTTTAATTCCATATTGAAACGTTACTGAATAAAAATATTTTCGCGTTTATGAAGTGGGGACACGCAACTAGTTCTTGCGTGTAGTTCAACACAGAACGAAACCGGTAAAAATCTAAGTCTATGACTCATATTTTAATGATGTCCACGCGAACAATGCAATCGAGAATAATATCGAGTAAACCGTAGTAAAAATAATGAACTGCATACATGATACAAGCGCGAGCGTGTTTATTTGTAGTTGATGTAGTTCATTCCGTACGTACCTATGCCCCGAAGACTGTATAGTGTTATAGTATAGTATTCATCAGTAGTCCAGTATCTGAGCACGCATGGCAAGTCGTAGTCAGCGTACAGTGGTCTGGGAGGCTGCAGATGATATGCATTTTTAAATGAGTGTTGCAGAGCAGCGTAGAGTAACCGAGGAATTTTTATACGACAATAACGCATTGAAAATACACTTGCGCCGACCAGTGCATGTAAGGTCTGGTCAACGACTCGAGGTGTACAATTAAATACAACTGACTTCGACTGTTTGAAGCAGAAATGTTTTAATTTCTTTTTTTTTTCAGACAGCAAGTAGACGCAACTCAATTCGGCTTCACGTGTAGTACGAAGGTCTGCTACAATATAATAGTTACCATTACACTTCTACCGGTCACAGCATACGTTTTCATTTCAAATGTTTACAGTAATTTTACATTAATATTGAGAACTGTTTCCAACGTACCGATAATATTATTTAGCCTTAACTCGGGGAAGTAAATACTCCAAGTGATATTATTTATTACGGTTTACTGTAACACGTGTTGCTTATGACACTATAACTGAGTTTAACTGAGATAAATACTACAACATTATTAAAAAAATACGATACCGTCGATAACTACGTGCTTCATATATATAAAAAAAAAAAAAAAAACTCGCACCTCTTATCGTCTCGAAAGTATTGGCTTATAATCGAAGAAAATACGGTGTGTTTTAGATTCTTATTGAATTCGTATATTAATGGTGTTAACCAAAACGTTGGTCGCATTACCTGGATCCGTGAGTGAGTTACCAACAAATTATAATTTTTTTTTTTTTGTTCTATAAAAATTCAATCTGTAAATGTGTTCTTGTAACTTATGACATTTCTATAAGTTTAAAATAAACAATATAAACCGTGCGTAGTTTAATTTAATGAAGGTTTTCAGACAAAAAATTAATTAAATAATTTAAAAGTTATAATTAGTGTTGTGAAATATTTGTAACAATAAAATTCCGTTCGATTATTCGTTCCGTTAGTATTAGGTTTCGTCAGGATTGACCTTTTACTAACAAACAAAATCCTGACCAATATACGTTATTCGTCGTCGTTATCAGTATCCATTTTCATCAGTTGTTTTTCTGCTTTCGTTCTTCTAACACCTGTTAACCGGTTTTTCATTATCTTTGTGATATTTGTTATAAGTTTTACCACAATCGAAATTTCGGTCGTCCGTCTCACAATTAATATTTCGCTTATGGTTTTGTTTAATTTATGCTATGTAAGCGTGTTCGATGTACAACGTTTATTGTGAAAGTCCGACAGAATAACAATACTATTATGTTTGGATAATCAACACATTGCAATATCGCCAAAGCGCTTGGGTTATCGAATCGTGAGGAATTCTTTTTTTTCGTATTATTATTGTGTAATACGATTGCCAGTGCGATTTTTAAGCAGATTGCGTGTACGATATATACGCGTGATGAAATTCATATCGCTTTTCCGCCGAAACCACAACCAGGGTAGCCCTTCCGAGGGGGTGAGGCCCTATCAGCAACCCCCTGTGACAATGGAATCAGCTGTTTTCCCGCCAAACAACAAACAGCCAAAAGAAACGGATAAACTACAACAACAACAGCAGCAGCAGCAACAACAACAGAAACTGCCAAAAGAAGCCATGGACAGCCGTGGTGCTACGGCCGTCGGTTTGTCCCCGACTAATGCAATCGACAGAACTGAAAATGTAAATGATTATATTGAGGAATTGGAAAAACTGCGCATAGAAGTTGGACTGTTAAAAGTGAGTGTAAAATTAAAAATTGTTGTTTATTACTAATGTATAAAAATTATAATTAATTGAAATATTTCAAAATTTTATAAAAACACACATTGTATGAAGATATGCTTGCATCTACTTTAATGTAGTTATTAATATATTATTTTTTCTCTCAATTTGGTTTATTATTAAGTAGAAAGTGAAAAAATATCGCATTTTTATTTAAATTCCTAAAATATATTAAGAAAATGTTTATATTGCATTATATTTAACAATCCTATTGGCATTAACATATTACATCATGTGTTGTAGGAACAAAGGGATGAAGCTGAACGTAACCTAGCAATGCATATAGAAAGTACACGTAATGTTTTGTCATGCACTTCTATTTCCAACAATAAAACTGATGATCGACGGAGGTATCCGAGCTCAGCTCCTGCTTCTATAGCTCCTCCAAATTCAGCTAGTCAGGTTTGTATTATTAAAACAATTAATTGTGACCTGATAAATTAGTTTTTATATTTTTGTATAGGAGTTACTAGATACTCAAGACTGGGATAAGAATTCTAGTTCGGTTAGTGAGGTTTCTTTGGCATGTTTACAAGATAGAATTGTGCAAATGGAAGAAACCCATTACAGGTTAGTTAAGTACCTGTTTATGAAATTAATTTGTCAATGATGATATTAATATATAATTATCAATGAAGTTTGTTATTACTATACGTATATGTTTAGTACCAATGAAGAATTACAAGCAACTCTTCAAGAATTAGCTGATCTTCAGTCTCAGCTGTATGATCTTCAACATGATAATGAACGTTTGGGTAAAGAAAAAGGTGTATTGTTGGAATCATTATGTCAACAGACAGAAAAATTAGAAGATGCTCGCACTAAAGTTGATGCTTTACAAGGATTATTTCTTGTACCTGGTTCTAATCCTCCATCATCTGTCACTGAACGGGAAGAAAAATTGGTCGAACTGCTTAAAAGTGGACAAGCAGAACGTGAAATATGGTTAACTAAACAAGAAGAGCTTAATGCCGAAGCAAATGAATCAAGACGAACACTAGAAAATGAAACTAAAAAAGCTAATCAACTCTTAGAGAGAGTGAGATTTTTGGAATGCACTGTTGATAGTAAAACTGCAGAAGTTAAACAACTTGATGAACAGCTTGCTCTTAGTAAAGAAGAGATATCTTCAAAAAATATTGAAATTAACCATAATCTCATGTTGTTGGACAATGCTAGAGCTAAGGTAAATTATTATGTTTCTCATACCGCATTATATTTTTAAATAATATTTATTTGTATATGTATTGTTGTCAGGTTAAATTTACAAAATTTATTTTACATTTTAGATTGAAGAATTAGAAGCAGCTAGAGATAAATTAGGTGATAAATCTGAGTTGAATGAATTATTAAATCATGCAAGACGTGAAAAAGACAATTTGGAAAGTCAATTAGCATCAATGCAAGAACGTCTTCAGCGTGCTTTTTGTGAAATTGATCGACTGAAAGAACAATTGACAAATTCTAATGAACAATATACCGTAGCTAGTAATAATGCTAAATCTGCAATTATAGACCTACAATGGCAAAGAGATAAGTGGCATGAAGAAGTTGCTTCATTAACATCAGAGTTAAAATCAGCCAAAGAAGCAGAAGCTGAATCCCAAAGCTTATGTCAGAAATATGTTGAAGAAAAAAGGCAGCTTGCTGATGTATTATCTGAAACTCAAATGTGTTTAGCAAATGTACGAAAAGCTCTCGAAGAAGAAAAATCAGAAATGCATTCTGAAGTAATTATAATACATACTTTATTTTTGATAGTATTGTGAAACTTTTATTAACACACAATTTATGTGAAATTCAAAGTTATTGCAAAACATAAATTTCCAGGAATATATAATGTTGTATATATTTTTTTGGTCTTCTTTTAATAAAATATTACAAAACGGTCATTGAAATATATTTTCATTATTAGAAGGTATATTTAAATAGAAGTTTCATTGTAGTACTGTATTAATATATTTTTACTTTATTATAACTTATTTTTATGTTATTAAAAAAATATAGAGAAAAGAATGGCACCAATTTAAAGAAGATTTATTAACAACTGTTAGAGTTGCTAATGATTATAAAGAAATTGTAGAAAAAGATATGGAACAGATTATATCAGAAAACAAACGTCTTCGTGAAAAAGTAAAAACATTAGAAGCTCAACTTGATAAATTAAGACGTAAGTAGTTAAATCTTATCTTTAAGTAGCTAGCATTTATTAATTCTTGGTATCAAAAATATAGATATGGATAAGCCTAGAGCTTTAACATGTAGTGCTAATTCAATTCTTAACCCAGTTATTATTGGACATGAGATAAGCCGTCGTAATAGTCATTCTAAACTTTCTCGTCAAGATAGCCAACTGTCTGTTAAAACATTGATTGAAAGTATTGAAAATGCTACTAAGCAAGCCAAAACTGGTATTTATACTATACATTATTATTGTTATTGGAAATATAAAGTTCAAATTTTAAACATATTTTAACTCTAGCGGAATTTACTCGAAGCAATTCAACATCAAGTTTAAATGGCTTAGGTCAAAATGAAAATTCAAATAAATCATCAAGAGACTGTGAATTTAAAACTCCACTCCGAGAACAAAATTGTCTGTCAGGAGACAAAAATACAATTTCTGCTTGCGAAGAAACTGGTAATAATAATAGCCTAGAGTTATTAAAATTTCTAATTTAATTAAATTTTTATTTGGCGTATAGATCCAATTAAGAAGTGTCAAAATGAAGACTACCGTTCAAATGGATCAATACTTTCTTCATCACGTAACATAGATACATTTGCTCGCCTTGGAGGTGCAACTGAAATACGTAAATTTTTATTTTAATGAATTAAAGATATAATTATGTATCCTTATGCTTTATCTTCTTAATATTTTGTGAATTACAATTTTATTTAAATTATTCAAAACTATTATTAATTTTAATATTAATTGTTAAAATATATCTTTATAACAAACATATTTATTATGGTTATATTTCATTAGATTTTATTTTATTTATTTAAGCCGAACGTCGTGATCCTCTTCAAGCACTTGTGAAAAACGGTGGTTCTAAACGCAATGCCTTACTTAAATGGTGTCAAAATAGAACAATTGGATATCCAAACATAGATATAACTAATTTTAGTAGTTCATGGAATGATGGACTAGCCTTATGTGCTTTATTACATACTTACTTACCTGATCAAATACCATATTCAGAATTAACTCCAACTGAAACAAGACGTAATTTTACTGTAGCATTTGAAGCTGCTGAATCAGTTGGTATACCAACTACTTTAGTAAGTTTTCAAAGTTATTTTATATTCTAATAAATATATTAAATATTTTTGGCTTAATATGTAAATTTCTTATTTTTTTTTTTCAAAAAAAATATAGAAACCCCTATGGCTTTATTATGGTATGGTGAAGATATGTAATTGTTTATCACTTATTTATAAAAAAAAAACACCAAACTTATTGGCTATATATTTTAGTAGAATATATCAAAATCACTTGTCTAGACAATTATTATACCAGACTTAAATAAGCTTCTACAGAATACATAAATTTCGATTTTCATAATTAATCTATACATTGTAAATTATCAAATAGTTTTTTTTTTCTATAGGTATTTCTCTAAAATGTGTAAAATTGTTAAATTGTATTTATGAAATTATAATGACACACACTGTTGCTTTATTAGTTACTAATTCCACACCAATATGCTCTTGATTCGTAACAAAATATTTATTAATCATTGTGTATAAACATAATATATTAACATAACATGTATATTATTATTGTAAAAATAGTAGAAAATAATATATTTGATTATAGACTTTATAAGTAGTTGCTTTATGTATTATTAAATTAACCCTAAAAGTACTATGGTAATAATTCAGAAATTAAAATGGATAAAAATATTTATTCAAATATAATTTAGTGATAAAATATACATGATATTTTTATGTTTTTAAAAATCCATAAAAAATGAGTTTTTTAATTTTTACTTTTATTACTGTAGCTTAATTTATTCTATGGTTTAAAATATTTATTTTTCATCAAGTTTAAATATTATTTTGATAAAGCTATTGATTTACATTTTTTAGAACATCAATGACATGATATCTCAAGAACGTCCAGACTGGAACCTAGTGATGACTTATGTTACTGCTATATATAAACAGTTTGAAACATGATCAGATTTTGTCTGCAGCATAGTACATAGCATTGTAAGACTGATGATATAACCAATCTTAAGATTTGGATTGTTCCTAATGCAAGACAATGTGTAAGACTTCTAGATTATAACTTTATGAATTCTATACTATGTATATCAATATTTTTCACCAAAATTGTATTTTAATATCAAAGTGCCCACCTACAACAAGTGTTTTCTAGAAGTTAAATCTAGTCACTTGAAAGTGTATTTATATTTTTATTAAATAGGTATTTGTAATATATTTTTGTAGTAATTTTAATTATTTTGTTTTTATATTTTCAACCTTATAATTATTATTATATATAATAGAAAATAACAATAAATACATTATTATTATTATTATTATAATAAAAAGTATATAATGATTTGTAATAAAAAAGTTGTTGTTTATTGACATTTATATTTTTATCGGTGTTGTTTTATTGTTTATGCATAGATCAGATATCAACAATATTGTAAAAGTAGGACTGCAAATTTTAAAATTATAGCAACCTTTCTGACAGCCATATTCATGGTGTACCCTGAAAAATGATTTATTCCATACAGACGGATACTCAGTTGTTTGTCTAAAACAGTACAGTGCAAGTTTTGAACTTGTTCTACGGTCGGTTAAACATGAAAACAAGTGTACAATTATCATCATTGACACGATTCGGCGGTGTTCGGTGCACTAGTCTACTTGCAAACTGGCGAAGGACACCAGTGTACGTTCGATCGCACCATATTTGGGGTGGGGGAGGTGGTGCTTCAGTAAAAGGAGTTCATCCAGCACTTGAAGTCAACATTTACACGGAAAAAGTGTGGACCAGCCGTGTTCGAATCCCTCTCCTAAAAGGACGGTGAAAGTCTATCCGTAGCCAAGATACGAGTTCAGTTCGAGGAAACGTGCTACCGCTTTAAGATCATCGGTAATTCCATTAGGTTGGTACACCGTCAGAAGTGGCGGTGGAATTCCAATGTTTATCAGTCACGCAGTCGTCGTCCAGAAGTCCTTGTGTCGTTGACGTGTAATTGTCGTCCAATTGCCCTGTTGCCCTCCGACCACGACGACGGTTTCTCGGACGAAGCTAATAGGCCGTAAACACAGCGGACCGACCATCGTCTTCTCGCCGTTTCAACGACGCACCGAACGCGTTACGGTTCGTTTTTTTTTTTTAGTCCCCTCCCCGCGATGAGCTGCTACGACACGTTATACGGACGGCGCATTAACATTCGTAGCACTTATAATCATAACCGTCGTCGACGGGGCGAACAGAAGTGACGTTGTTGTTTTTTGTTTTCGTAAGTGCGAAACGTCGGAGAGAGAGAGAAAAAAAATAAAATGATTCGCTCCGTTCTGCTGCACGTCGTTGCCGTCGTCGTCACTGTCACGGGCACCGTATCCGCGCTAGGTGAGTCAAACGATTTGTAATAACAATAGTGCCTAATATTAATAACTCGCCGTCGTCTCATCGTCGACGTTTGTTTTCGGCACGAGCCGACCGGTCCCATGTTTGTATTGTGCGCCTCCAGTGACAATGTTTGTTCCGTCTGGGCGAGGCCCTAGGCCGTTGAAAGCACGACGACAATTCAAAATCCGTGATAGGGATCTCCGAAAAACTGTCACTGTTCACTTCGCACGTCGTAAGTGGCTCGTTCACCTCGAGCGCATGACAACGCGACCGTTACGGGAGTATTGTTATTCTGAACTTCGACCATATCCGTCGTTGTGGCCTTAAACGCGGACGACATTGTATTACTCACGATGCGCTCTTTTGAAAATCGGTAAATTTTAAACTTGAGCCGCGGCTAGGAAAAATAAGAGAATGTAAGATTACTCACGGATTATTGCAATATTGTTATGATTATTTAAAATTAACACGAACAGGTGGCATTATTGTTTGATATTGAAAATGTCCTAGGAATCTGCAACGCAATCGTTGTGTTATCATATTACAAACAAGTTCAATCACTAAATACGTATAGGCGAGGACAGCAGATGAAAAACAACTAACGTTAAATCATTGATTACAAATACTATTTACGACTATAGATAATAAAGAATTTATTTTATTATCTGTGTTTACAACCAGTGGTGTTAAATTAATATAATAATTAAGGTTCGAGCGTGAATTCATTCATGTGTGGATCTATTGATGACATTAATTTACCAATAAAATTTATCATAATTTCATATTGTTTTAATTTTAATCTCTGATTTACGGGGAAAATAATTATCACAGATGGTAGATAACTTCATTGAAGTCTTATTTGTTGAGTTTCATTTCAATTTCTTATCTCTTTATGTGGTTGTATCTTAAAATTATTAAGTTCGATGTTATCAGTAAAAATAGGATGTTTTGTCTGATATTTTAGTTTATTTCTATTATTTTTAAAACATTGATAAAATCCTTTTTCTCATTGTATATGTTACCGGCAATATAGATAATCTGGTATTTTTTCAAAATGCCAAAAATCACTCAGTAATATACATAATACAAGCTTTACCTAGGTATTTTGCATAATACCAATCGTGGAGTAGGCAATATGAAGAAAACAAACAAAATTGGACATCGCCTACTACCAATGACTTTCACGATTGCGTTTACGATTTAATGCAATAAAGATTAATATTCTTTTACTACAATAATAATAATTCTGAGATACAATATTGAACGTACTAATAATTTTATTACAATATCGTAATCTCGTCTTTTTCGTGTCTCATTATGGTGTTGTAACTATGGATACGATTCATATGAAGTCAAATTTTTGTAACAAACTACAAATTCTTTTTAAAAATTTGGCCACTTATACTAGTTTTTTATCTGATGAACAGTATAATGAGTTGATAAACATTTATTCCACAAGAATTGGCCGAGGATTTTTAAAATATGTTTGTAAGTCCAAGTGTCAAAATAAAAAGTGTATTTGCCTTAAAAATAAAATTGTGTGTACTTCAAAATGTCACTTTTCTATAATATGTTATAATAAGTAAATAATAGTTTAAGTAAAATATTTATATAATAGTAATAATATAATAATAGATAAAAATTAAATTTTGTCTTTAATATGAGTAATAATGTATAATAATTATAAGAATCTTAATGTAATATAACATATAATTAAATGTTTTGTACTTTGCCTAAAAAAATTGGCAATTTGCATAATGACTAGGTATTTTACAAAATACCCGAATTATCCATATTGCCGGTAACATATACATTAGTTTCTGACTAAATCACTGAAAAATAGGACATCAATGAATACCATATGATAAATGTTCAAATTTTGTTTAAAACTGAACAATAACGATAAAGGAAATTATTTTATTAAATTTAATTACGATTTTAATAACAATCGCCTTTAAGGGTTCAACCAAATGTTACATTTGTACATTATGTTAAATGTTGAACAATTATAATAATGATTAAAATGTATTCTTCCTTATGGATAGATAAAAAACAAATTAAAAAAACTTATACGGATCATAGTACTCTTGACTATGTGTCGTACATATCTGAAGTTTGAATTCATGTATTATTATTTCTGACTACAATCGTTTCTAAAATCAACCACATCCAACAGACGACAAAATCATTATCTGACCTCTTCCAGATGTAGACGAATGAAAACAACAAAACGCATATACCATTAATATAATGTTACATTGTTAATGTAAATATAAATCTGTAAATTATTATCCAAACTTATTTCAATAATACTGATACATCTCAAATAAATTATAAAAACAAAAGTAATCATCAAAAACATTGACAAAATAATGTGTAAATTAATATTATATTTAGACTTAAAAATCGAATAAAAGTATTAATATGCTTGTATCCATAGTTTGAAATTCACATAAATTGTAATTTTATCTATATAAATCTATATAAATATATTTTTTAAAAAAAAGTATAAATACCTATTTATTTTTAAATACAATGTATTTCAGTGATATTTTATTGAATATAAGTATTCATAATTTCAAATTATTATAAATAATTGTTTAATTTTAGGTAAACGTTTTAATTCAATTTTATTTCAATAATTTTTTTAAATTGAAGAACAATGTTATTTTTTTGTTTTTATTCTAATTTACTTTATAATGTTGGTATGTTACGTCTAAATAATACATTTTGACCCTCAAATGATAAAAATATTAAAATAAAATGGTTCAATATTTTGGAATAATTTTTCATTCAAAAATTAAATATTAATGTGACAGCTTCCATTGACCATTTATATTTTAATTAAATTTTTTTTTTTTTGGTAATTGCTATATTTTCTTCTCTGTTATTGTTTTATATTTAGTTCCCAGGAATCATAAATATACCTATTATTTCTATAATTGCATTTTAATTTCAAAACTAATGATCGAAATTCCTTAGATCTGATTGATATTTCGATTTGATTCCTCGATTTATTTGTTACAACAGTGGATTCAATTTTACAGATTTATAAATTCTTAATACACATCAAGTATTTGAATAGTTTATATGAGTAATTGATAACCTAAATGAACAAAGACTAAATATATAGTTAAAATCGAAATCATGTAACACGTTAAATAATAATTACATATGTATATATAGCTAGAATGTATGAATACTGGATTTCAGATAAAATATTTAATAGTAACGCTGCACACAAATCGCATATTAGCATTCTGGGGTCGGTCTCGGCACCGGTTATCATTTTAGCTTTCTGATTGGTCGTTTGATTTTGCCACGCTTTTTAAAAAACTGTTATCTGGTATTATGTGTTAATTAATATTATCTCATTGCAATACATATTTATTATTTTTTTTTATAAAGTGTGAATATAAATAATCTTAAAAAGGGTTTTTACTTTTTACTTTTTGTAGGTAGCTTTTTAAGTAAAATATTATAAGTCGAAAAGTTTCTTAAAATTTTTAAATTAGTGGAATTTAATGATAATTCATTTCGTTCTAATATGTTTTCACACACCAACTTGTGTTAGTATTTTTACCATGAATACTAATCCAGTTACAAATATCTTGTTCGGAAAACATATTAGAACGAAATTAATTATTATCAAATTCCATTAATTTAAACATTTTAAGATACTTTTTGACTTATAATATTTTATTTAAAAAGCTACCAACTAAAAGTCAAAAAATCATTTTAAGATACTTTTTGACTAATAATATTTTACTTAAAAAGCTACCTACAAAAATTCAAAAGTAAAAACCCTTTTAAAGATTATTTATACTCATACTTCACAATAGTATCATAAATAATAAATAGGCATTACAATTCGATAATAATAAATAACACATAATACTAGACAACAAGGTTATAGGTAACAGTTTTTAAAAAGCGCGGCAAAACCAAACGACCAATCAGAAAGCTAAAATGATAACCGGTACCGAGACCGACCCCAGAATACTAATATGCGTCCCGACGTTATGTAACCACTACATAAACTGCATCCTAACATAAAAACATTATTTTTTCTCTTTTTTTATATAGGTTTAGGGCTGTCAATCATAGACATACATTGAGTCAAAAACTTGGGTTTGCTAAAATTATTCACCCCAAGGTGATTAGTGGGGAGTAAAACCTACGTCTACCTGGTACAAAATGTTTTAGTTTTACCATTTAATTATAAATTTAGTAATTTTCTATGTTATAACTAAATAGTATTAATAATAGTAACAATATTTTTTTATCAATAAGCGATAAAACCAGCTGATTTACTATTAAGCAAAAAGACTTTAAGCAAAAAAAAAAAAAATCCTAAGTATGAGAAGTATTCCAGCAATAAACATTAAAAATAAACTTGACCGTCATCACCAGGGTTCGGATTTTATGGCATTTGCTGAGGGTTTTGGGATTCAGATGAAAATAGCAATGTAAGGTATAAATTGGATATGCATTTGAGACTCAAAAAATAAAATATTATTCTGCTATGTTTTGCATATTTAATTATTTTAAATTTTAATACTATTTTCGAAATTTTGGTGCTTTTTTTGATAATATGCATAATATTATAATGCTTTATTTTGTGATTTTCATAAACAATGTTTATAGCGGGGTTTATAGTGAATGAAAAATAGTATTCATTTAGGTATGTATATTATAAAAATTCAAACATTTTTGTTTTTCGTCACAAGTTTATAAATTGTTAATAGGAGAAGATAATTTTAGTTTATAAATATGTTACAGTAATAGTGCGAATACCGGTAAAACCTAGGACATGCATTATTGATTTTAGCAGTTCGGGCTTTTACCAACGAGTTTTAGTAAATCTTAGGATTAACAATCAATGATTGTAAAAGTCCGAAATTATATATTTTTTCCAATTCTGTGATAATTCTTACCCATATAAATTAACTCAATGTTAAAATTTTCGTATATGCTATTAACTCCATACATAATACAGT